TCCGCGGGCTTCGCTCAATCTGGAGGACATAACCTGGTTTATCATAGGGAGTGGTTCACGGTTCACCACTGCACGTCCTTTCTATTGATGACCTTCCGTTGGGTCTCATCTCCCCGATTCTGCTTTACGCGGACAGCGTATGGTCGTGGAGAGCTGTGGCATCCAAAACTGGAACAAGCGCACTACTAGGGACCCTAGGTTGCTTATGGGGAGGGCAAATAACAACGGAGAAGCATTTAACCCGGATAAATGCTTCTTTGCACCCCGAATCGCAAAAAGCATCCTACTCACCTTGTATCACACAACCTTCCCACACCGCCACAGAGAATGAGTTGGGACCAATACCAAATGACAAGAGTGATACCCGCTCCAATCATCCAGAAATGCCTCCAGACGCCACGCAGTCCTGAACTTCTTGAGCATACAGCTAAATGCCCACACTCCATGACTCGTCCTGAAGCTGCACAGGATCTGTTTGCGATCTGACTTATGGGTCCACAATATCACTGCACCATCATACCTTCACTTCAGATGTGAACCCTTTAAAAAGAGTCGAGGAGAGAGCAGTGAAGGCTATTGTGTAAGTGCTGAAAAATGCCTGCGAGAATTGGTTGAAGGACCTAGGGCTTCACTCTCTTAGCTACCACGGATAAAAAGGCAGCTTGACGAGAACAATCACAAACAACTGCTCTCAACATACTTGTTAATCCGTTACTCGAACAGTGGAATCCCCTCTGTTGGTTACTATCAGTTCCCACAATAACTTAAGGAGGATTGCCCGTTAAAGGGCGGAACCTGAGTGAGCCTATGCGTTTCTGTCTGTGGCCGCTAAAACTCACTGCCTACAGAGATTGCTACTACTCCGTCCGTCGACAATATCAAGAAGAGGTCAGACAGCTTACCAGTGATGCATGGCCCACTTTCATCTAGGTGGCATACGAACTAAGATGCCATCTAGACCTTACGATGAACGCATAGAGCCCAAGGTCACAGATGCCATACCCACCCTACTTTTAAGAATATTGGAAGATTCAAACAATAGCCCAATATTTCCTACTTTCGAACTGAGCTTGCTTCAGTATGACGAACAATTATGCTGCTGTTTATCTGTTTCATTCTCAGCTGTCTGCAAAGCATTAACGTTCTTACTGAAGACGCATCTTTTATGCACCGAAAAGAACGGTGTCTGTTGAATGGCATCATGTTGCACATAACAGTCAGTTCACATTACCGAAATGATCAAACCTGTAAACTGGTTTGTTTTTATGTAACTTGTGTTGTATGAAATATATTATCATTATTACTATTATTAATGTTATCAACAGATTCTGCAAAACCCAGCACATTCAACTCAATACCGAGTCTTCTGCACCATGACGAACAGTGCGAATTCTCCTCGCCAAACCTTGCACTTCCCCATTACATGTCTCACTCCCAGGTACCATACCATTAATAACAACGCCATTTCTATCTAAGTAATCGGTCCCATAAATCTGCATGCTCCTAGCTTACTTCCGACTACAGTCTCATACCTTATGTAGCGTCACATACTCCCCCAAAATCAATAGCCTAGGGTTCGAAGACATTCAACATTGATGCCGACCTTCATGGCTTAACTGGACTCGCTAAGCTGAAGGCACCCAGTCAAACATCCTTGCCATTTGGCACGCTGTCATGTTACGTTGCACCGTTCGTATTCGACTCTCTAGCCAGTTAGTTGGAACGCATCAGTATCTTGGTAGAACCATCCAAATATACTATTCCATCCGACTACGCTATCGTGTTCTTCCTTATTGTCGTATTCGTGGGTATATGACAAGTCCGAATGATTACAGATTGGTCTTTGCGTCTGTCAAGTTCTCACCAGGACAAATCCTAAATTGGTGAGCCCGACGTGATCACATATCCCGACCAATGACAGATATTGAATTGGTGAGTCTGTTCCATTTTATATTTGTATATTTTCATTTCGATAGCATTTATATATCCATTTACTACACTTTCTCATGTCCGACCATACTCCCAAGCTTATTCGTATTGAGCCGACTGCGAACACGATCCAACTCGTGCCACATTGGCCAGACAATGCAGAAACACGGTTTCTGTATGCCGATGCCGATTTTCGAGAACAGGGTGTCTCAGATCCTCAATCTCGATTTCTTGCTGTCATACGTTCACTACCGCGAGAATTAAACAGGTATGTTACAGCAAACATGTTTAATCCTGAAGTAAGGGATCCTTATGCACTTCTCAAGGCCACACTCTTGGAGAAAATCGATCCCATAGATCGCCAGCGCCTAGACGAGTTACTTCATAACAACGATCTAGGCAGCCACTCAGTTACTGAAGTCCTCGCACGCATGCAAGAAGTAATCGGTGCACGAACATTCGACGATGGCCTTTTCAGAGAATTATTGGTCTCAAAACTACCACAACCGGTGCAAACGGTGTTGGTGACACTGCAGTCAGTCCCACTCGACGACCTGGCAGCCTCAGCAGATAAAATACTGGAGATATCAAGCAGACCCGTCTCCAACGTAAATTCTGTCTGCGACAAACCAGAGAGTCAGGGTTCAGAGGTGACCAAGCTGTGCAACTCTGTCAAACAGTCGTTACGATCTCGAAGTCCTAGTTCACGTAGCACTTCACAGAAACGCATCGCAGCAAATCGCGTGGTTGCCCCAGAACTAAACTTAATAGGGTGGAAAACCCTGAATGGTGCTGGTTTCATAATACTTACGGAGACGAAGCCATAAAATGTCGGAAACCATGCCGTTTTAAGAAGGACCCAAACTCGGGAAACGGTCACGCCGGCACGTGTTCACAGCAACCATAGCCGGCGGAAACAGCCGTTTGCTCTACGTCACGGATATTAAGACGAAAGTTCGCTACCTCATTGACACCGGTGCAGAGGTTAACGTTCTTCCCACACCGACAAAGGATCGTCATCATGACCCATCCTTCAATCTTCAAGCAGCCAACGGCAAGGCAATGGCCACATTTGAGGGAGAGTATGCCTTCCTCAACTTCGGTTTACGTAAACCTGTCCACTGGATTTTCCTCCTGGCTGACGTTTCTATGCCCATCATTGGCATGGATTTGCTAAACCATTACGATCTACTCGTAGATGCTCGCCGTCGTCGACTGATAGATAACAACACAAGGTGATCTATTGGTGGCACCACCTATGTAGGTCCGAGTTTAGCCATCGTTAGAACCAAACAACCGAGCGACGCGTCCTACCAAGCAGTTTTGGAGAAACATCCAGAGTTGCGGCAACCGAAGCACACTCTTCCGTGCATAACCAGCAATGTTGTGAATCACGTCACAACCACAGGTCCACCTGTGGCATCCAAAGCGCGCCGTTTAGCCCCCGATAAGCTCCAAACGACGAAAAATGAATTCGACCACATGCTCTAACTGGACATAGTCAAACCTTCAAACAGTCTTTGGGCATCACCGCTACACATGGTTCCCAAAGAGAATAGCAACGACTGGCATCCAACCGGTGATTATCGAAGGCTTAACGCCAAAACAACACCGGTGGATAGCTCAATTATCGCAATTCTTGACGATGTGCCTGGCAATGCACAGTTGCAACAGAAAACACGATCAGGTCGAACCGTCAGGTTCCCGGAGTATTTGAAGCCGTATTCAACTTAGTGGTGTGAAATAAGATGCGCCGACCATATCTTTTTACTTCAAAGTTTTTTCCGAGGCACTATTTTTCTTATTTACCGGCAATGCGCAAATCCTCGTATATTTTGCCTTTTTATGTCAATTTTTTTATTACCATGTAATGAAACTTTTTCTAAAAAACGGTGAAAATAAGCGTAAACCTTATTTTCGATGTATTTGTATGCACATAATTCCCATTTTTTCGAAGCATTTTCATGGTATTAAAGACTTTCATTTATATTCCAGGTGCAACGAGCACTGGACGGAAAGTCAGAAAGAAACTGGGGACCGCGCTCAACGTACATTTCGATTTATTGTATTTTATTTTTTAATTGCCACTACACCCTAGAATAAGTTCAGACGACCAAGGGCCACTTCATACAGTGAGCCCATTGGAAGAGTTTTACCAGTGGGGAAACCACTGGGTTTTTACTTCTGGCTGGTATCTTCTTAGGGTAATCACGAACCCCCTAGGGGAGGAGTGATCTGTAGCGTCACGTTCTCCCTCAAAATCAATAGCCTAGGGTTCGAAGACATTCAACATTGATGCCGACCTTCATGGCTTAACTGGACTCGCTAAGCTGAAGGCACCCAGTCAAACATCCTTGCCATTTGGCACGCTGTCATGTTACGTTGCACCGTTCGTATTCGACTCTCTAGCCAGTTAGTTGGAACGCATCAGTATCTTGGTAGAACCATCCAAATATACTATTCCATCCGACTACGCTATCGTGTTCTTCCTTATTGTCGTATTCGTGGGTATATGACAAGTCCGAATGATTACAGATTGGTCTTTGCGTCTGTCAAGTTCTCACCAGGACTAATCGTAAACTTTTACTAATGTTCTGCTTACACTGTTATCTACTCCTCTTCGTTTCATCTTGTTTTTTCACACTTCCTCCCCTTGATCTGGCCAGAGATCATTTCTACCTTTTTATCTTCCTCCTACAACTAGTCAGAACAACTGTATGGTAACATTACATTTAGGGAACCCACATCCACCGCAGTCCTGGGACTAATCATACAACTAGAAAACTAATCAACATCCGACCAGTTGTCGGATATATCATAGACACAGCAGCCACGTGGGTTGGCCTATTGTATTGGAATCCACCGAAGCAAGTACGAAGAAACCAGCTGGTTTACACAACCTCATAATTTGATACTGAACCTCGAACTTTACGATTTCAGAGTCCCAGAAAACATAACCGGAGCTGTGAGACTCCTACAAAATAGATTTTTCAAAAATATTGAGATAAAACCATTCTGTACCTACACACGTCATGCGGTTTGAATTGGTGCTTGTTTTACTGCTTACTGTTATAGAGATAACAACCTCACTTTTGAATAACGAACAGAATGACTGAGGAGTAAGACAGCTCCCGTACATTTATTTCAGTGATAATAAAAAAACAACAGCCACCATAGGAAATGGAAAACTTGATATGTTTCAACCCTTGGACTTCTCATTCATGAATTTCAAAGAAGTGACAGGCAATGAAAATTGCTGTAATTCACATTATTTGGACAGATTTATTAAAGCTCGAGCCAAGAATATCAACCGCTACCTCCCTTGTCATTAAAAAAAATCAGAACGGAAAATGGACAACCCAAACTCTGAAACTGAACAACAATCAAATAGAGGATATTACAGCCATACCTGCACTTGCCAATGAGATTTTTAATGATATTTCAAGTTTGACTTGGCTGGACGTATCGTGCAACAAGATATCTTCGATCCCGAATGTATGATACTGTTCATTTTTACTTTCAATTTCAGCTCAGACTATCAGCAACCTTAGATGCCTGAAAATATTTTATGTACATGGGAATCAGATTAGAAGTTTCCAAGATGTTCTAAAGCTTAAGCAACTGCCACTCTTATCAAAACTCACACTGCATGGAAATCCGATCGAAAAAGAAAAGGTAATGGCGAGTACTAGGAGAAAATTAAGAGTTAGAAGCCTATTTATAAATTTCTGACTGGTATTTATGATACCCGACTTCAAGCTGCAAACGTGTCATGGAATAAGTACATATTTATCCGAATGTCCTGCGCTCTCTTTACTTGATTGTTCAGGAAATCGTTCTATGCTGTAAATTTTGTCACGAATTTAAACACCTAAGTGTTATTTGCGTAGCATATGCATGTCGGTTGATACATATTAAGAAAGGCGACTTCAAATGCAAGTAGGTAGTTTGTAACCGAATGGAAAAGATACACATAGTATTAACAGCTTTTGCCATAGTATGCATAAAATTCATTTTAGAAGCTACTGAATCCGAGGACACATCTGCAGTTACAGGTATAAAATCGGTCTCTAGATGTCCCGCTATAAGGAGATTAAGGTGTAGGTACCTCCCAACGGTGTTTGCAATACTTAAGTCCCTTATGACAAAGTTGATTTCTTCCCCACTGCTAAAACAGACTCAGATAGTATATCTTTAGTAAAGTATGTTCAACGATAAACTTAAAATGGATATCGGCGATAGAATAGGCTTAGCGGAAGAACTCTTACCCAAACCACCGTCGCAAAACTAGATTTTTCTTTTTTAACTCACGACCTATAAACTACTAGAGGATGTTTAATGACTCGGTGGAAAATGGCACGTAGACGGAATATTCAGTATACAGAGTCTGGGGAAACTTTCACCAATTATTATTATCCCATTTCGCCAGTAAGTAAAGCCATATCTGAGCAGGTGAAGAGTAACATCAGAATGTTATTTCACAAAAGCTGATTCCCAATTTTTCTTTTAATTTCAGGGCTACTTTCACGTGGTTCTTTCTATATTACCAAGGCTGGTAACTTTGGACTTTACTGGAATTTCACGAGCAGACCAACAGACTGCTGCTTTGATAAGAATTCCTGGTCAGAATAAGCGTCAGAAAGAACAATGACGAAAATACGCTAATAATGTTCTAGACTCTAATTTTAGTAAAACATGAAATCTTCCAAAAGCAGAGAATTTTGATTTCATAAAGTAAATAAATCTGAATTTTCTTTAACTTCTTTTTATGGAGAAGCTGCCTGATTATTATAGAATTTCGACAAATTAACTTTCAAATTTATCCAAACAACTTTGCCAACAGAAAAATGTTTAGATGCTTAGACAACTAAACAACAGGCTTCAGTGATCAGTCCTGTCATTGTTCATGCACTTATTAACTACTTATTCCATGGGATTGAGTGATGACCTATCCCTGAAACCCAAACAAATGAATTTCAGAATAAAGAACTAACGAACAAAATAATTTAGCGCATTCATGTTTCTTACTGTGCAAAAGTCCACTCACGTACAAAATACTTTACCTGAATAAAACAAACGAAACTAATTATCAGATGCCAAATAGTCAAACAGAGACGATACATGTGTTCCTACTACAGTGTACTGTTGTATATGTACCTGTATATGTTGTATATGTACCTGCTATAACAGGTAGATCCCAAGTGATCTTCTTTCAGTTTGACTTGAACAAATAAGAGAAAAGCTTTCAGTCTGTAAATAGACAGGCGATCGCTAGCTTTGCTTTATTCGGCAAGGTATTGAATGAACCATGGTTGAAGTTAAACACTATTACACAAGCCACCTGCCATTACCTCATAACAATAGGTACCAGTCAACAACTAAATAACGCAGTTTAAGAAATATTTACAGCTTTAATTCAGGAGTGTTAATATACAATCAGATTTATCAGACATATGCGTGAAACTGGAACATACTGCCGAGGTCATTCAGTTCAGTGATTAAACACAAACATAACTACAAAAAAGACGAGAAGTCATCCGGAGCGTTCTGGAAATTATCTCGACACTAAATTTATTCACCACGTTAGAAAACATATTAAAGTAGCCACAGCAAAATGTTCCGGGTGAAATCAAACGGTAAAATCCCTGGAACTCCAACCAAATTAAACTGTATAATCTCAGAGCTTCCCACTTCAAAAAAGTAGGCACTGCAACTGTTTCGAATATGAACTAATTGACGTCATTTCTGTATTTCTAAGTAGGATTAGTCTTAAACTAACAGTAGGACTTGGCTGCTGTGGAAGAGAGTCAATCTCAATTATTTTCCTCGTCAGATAAACACAATTAATTCAATCAGCACCTTACACTTCGTGTAAGTGTTCGCAATAAAATTTACTCGAAACTCTAACCAGTGAGTAAAATTGCCTCACTGCGATATACTCAGCAATGATTTCACTAAAGCCGTAAAATCCTATTTAAAATCATTGAAAACAAATAACAGTCCACTGTTAATCAACAGGGACACATCATTACAATAACACTTGAGAAATCTCCCAAGGATAGAAGAAAACTACTACTTTTGCGATGGTAAGGCTCACGAATGCACACATTATTTCTGGGCGTAGAGATCAATTTTAACGTTGTGAATTTTAAATGATTAGGCTATGCATAAATGGCTCAGTTAGTGGCATTCGGAAGTGTGAGGAAGGTACCTTGTAAATTACTCTAAAAAACTAACAGAAGGAGTCATAGGTCTGGAGATGACAAGAGGTTCAAGAATAAAACTGTTAGTACTTTTTATCTCTGCTCTGGATAACCAAGGTGAACAATGTTCCAAAATACGTTTGAGGACTTGGTGCTGTGTATGTGGCTCCACAGGTACAAGTAAACTAAAAGTTTACATTGAGGTGGCCAAAAGCAGTATTCTATCCTTAACGCACTGATATATTGCCTGTCGGAAAACGTGGTACTCAGGATAGCTGTGTGAAATGTCTTCATTGAATATCTTTAGAGGTGATTTCGAGGATTTTAGCCACAACGTCATCTTTGAATTTGAGGTTTATGTAGAGGGTTTCCTTCGTATTTGTGGCTCCCCTTTTATGTTTGAGCCAGCGAATCTGGGTGGATGCTCGTTTTTTAACAGGATATTACGTATTCTGTTTGACGCCTATGAACCTAAATGATATTTCGAAATACATTTAAAAATGGTTTCACTTTTTATTCCTAGTCATTAACGATCTACTACATAATATTTACTTACTAAACAAACATGGGATCCGACGTCTTTTCTTTTAAACAACTAATCAATTTTCACCATAAACTGAATATGATTAATTATAGTTAAGCATAATTTGAATTCACAGAACTGCAACAGTTTACAGGAATAGGCTAAAAAAATTTAGCTTATACTAAAATCCCCATCTAAGATGATTACAACTATATCAAATTAGACTCACTAGTCAATTCGAATCCTCTTTCATTGAAAAAGAACTAGGCTGAGCAAACGATGAAAGTAAACGGAACCCGAAAAGTATGTGGTATACAAGAAGTCAAAGGATTTGCAAAGAGCATTTTTATGTACTGAGATAAATTATTACAGACAAAAAAAATAAACTAAAAAAAAGATTTGTTGCGAAATATACACTGGAAAAATCTATATACAACTACTGAGCTACATTAAATTTACGATGCTCACATTCTGTCTCCTTCTTCAATTCATATAACTGCTTTTGAACGACTTGGGTATACGTACTATGTATATTTGAACGAAATTCCGACGATAATGCATAAAGAGTGGAATTGCGTTTTAATTCCCGACGCAAATCATGGATATCAATCGGTTTACCAACTCCAACAGTTAGTTTTCGTGATTTTCCAAATATGCGTGACAGCGTAACAGAAGATTTCGGTACTTCGGAAGGATTTAATTCATCAAAACCACAATGCCATATAGGAAGCACAATAGGATCCTGAAGAATAAATAAAAGTTGCTGGTGGAAACTTCCGTAAAGTAGGAAAACGTAAGTTAAACTAACAGGAGACTTAGAGCTTATCTATCCTGAACAAAGTCTGCAAGAGATCTAAAACGAATATTACACCATGACTTAATCAATGAACAACGGTATACACAACAGTGGTTTGGTAGTCTCTGTATGGACGTTTCATCACTGCTGACGATACCACTGTCTATTAATATGTATTTAAATCGTAGCGAGCCGTATTCTCACTTTTGTTCCGTCCACTTCCAACTACATTCCATTCTATTTAATCATTATGGCTTGACCCAAATACACTTCTCCTTATTCTTAACACCAGCCATTTAACAACACATATGGACTGTAGAGCATCAGAAGTTATTGAAAATATATTCTCTCTCAGCATCAAACTCTCAAAACCTCGCCTGGTTAACTAATTCACTAGTTACTGGCCGGTCCTAAGCCCGGGTAAAGAGGGAAGGCTGGGCATAGGGCTAGCAACCTTACCCCGTAAAACCAGTCCAACCACTAAAAAAACTTCAAAGTACAGACAAAAAAAGAATTATTCCTTGCTGGAACCGGGGAGACGAAATGACGCCGGTTAGTGAAAGCCTTCGGGAGGCCAGTTGGCCGAAGCGTCTCCTCTCGATGAAAGTGAAAGTAAATATTGGGACATAGAATGTCCGCACAATGTTTGAACCTACCAAGGCTGCTCGAATTGCAAAAGAGATGTGAAGATATAGCATAGAACTGCTAGGAATCTGCGAAAGCAGATGGAATGGAGTGGAAGTGGACTCTCCAAACTATCAACTGCAGAGTCAATAATCTACTCCGGTCACCCAGACGACAACCACGAGTACATTGAGTTCTGGAGCGGCTATCATAAAGTGGGAACCAATCTCCTCCAGGATCATAACAGCAAGATTCAACTCAAAAGGAAGAAAAGTCACAATCATACAATGCTACACTATGCACCCACAAATAATGCAGATCAAGAGAAGGAGGAATTCTATAGACAACTTCAATCAACACTGGACAACACCCTACTCCAGTTGGCGACATCAAAATTCTAATGGGCGACATGAATGCCAAACTGGGAGCGGACAACACAGGAAGAGAACTAACCATGGGTCGAAAAGTGCTCGGTGAGGTGATGAACGAGAATGGAGAATTGTTTGCAGAATTCTGTGCATTCAACGATCTGGTGATTGGAGGCACTGTGTTCAAGCACAAGGATATCCACAAAGCGAGAAACATGGACTCCACCAGACACCAAACACAATAAAGATCAGATCGATTTTATTTTAATCTCAAGAAAATGGAGACGCAGCCAGCCTACTTGACACTAGGTCAAGAAGAGGAGCAGATGTAAGCTCAGACCACTCACTATCTAGTGCAAGGAATCTAACTTCAAAATCAAGTGAAAAGCCTTCAAGGAAATTGGTGATAGACCACAGTTCAAGTTCAAAACACAGAACGGAAATTGAAGGACGAAACTACAGAGGACATCTTCACGTCAGCCATCAAGACAAAATGGGAGACATCGAGCAACATTCCTGAAGAAACGTGTGTGGATTAACACTGGAACTCTTTGAAAGCTATGTACAAAGAAACCTGCATAACCGTAATAGGAATTAAGAAGAAAGAAGATAAGGAATGGATCTCGACGGACACATGGAAGCTGATAGAGCAGGGAGAGGAGGATGGTGAAGCAGAAGATAAACCAGTGCAGTGCAGGGATGAACAACGAGAAGAGGAACTGAGTACACACTGAGTACACACTGGACAAAGAAGTGCAGAAGAGTGCACGCAAAGACAAAAGACACTTCTACGAAACACTGGCAAGTGAAGCAGAACAGGCTGCCAGCTGGTAGGAGAGACCTGACAATATTGTATCAAATAACCAGGTTACTCTGGGAGGAAAGAGATCAACACACATGAAACCAATAAAAGATGATGAAGGAGATCTAATTACCAAAGAAGAGAAACAAAGGAAACAATGGGCCGACCACTTCAAGAAGCTCTTGAATCGACCACCACCACCACCTGCAATTCGTCCAGAAATACCACCTGCAGTCACAGAACTAACAGTGAACACGAATCCTCCAACAAAAGTGGAAGTCCTGAGGGCCATGAAGCTACTGAAATGCGGGAAAGCAGAGGGGCCAGATGGAATCCCACCAAAAGCACTGAGAACAGACGCAGAGACAACAGCGGACATGTTCATACCACTACTGAAAAAAGTTTAGGAGGAAGGAAGGAAAGTTACCTACCGATTGGAAGAAAGGCTATCTTGTCAAACTCCCGAAGAACGGCGACACAAGTCCTTGCAAGAACTGGCGCGGAGTCATGTTCCACCGCTGTGCACACCAAACAAAATATTATGCCGCATCATACTAGAGAGACTAAACAATGCGTTGGATTTAAAATTGCGACCGGAACAAGCTGGATTCAGGAGGTACAAATCATATGTGGATCAAATTGCTACGCTATGCTACACATCATCAAAGAACAGAGTATAGAATGACAGTCAACTTTATACCCTACCTTAACTTCATCGACTTAGAAAAGGCCTTCGACAGCGTCGACCGAGAAGGAATTTGGCAACTGCTTCAACACTACGGAATACCACAAACCTTTATCAGCCTCATTCAACAACACCTATATGAAGACGCCACATGCCAAGTAATTCACAATGGGAAGCTCAGTGATGCCTTTGAGGGAAAGACGGAAGTAAAACAAGGCTGTCTACTATCACCGATGATCTTCCTGATTGTGGTGGACTGGATCATATAGCGAACAGTGAGGAGCGAGAAGATGGGCATACGCTGGATCGATTAAAAGAGCCTAGAAGATTTGGACTTCGCCCATGATGATTTATGTCTAATGTCGAACAAACTCGAAGATCTACAGGCGAAAACTAACAAGTTGACAGAAGAAGCAGGGTAGGGCAGCGAAGATGGGACTTCAAGAGAATGTAGAGAAGACAGAGGTGATGATGATACCCAACGAACAACAACATCAACAACAGGCTCCAATCACCATCAACGGGGGAAACTTAAAGGAAGTAACCTCTTCCACCTATCTAGGCAGCACTGTTTCAACTACAGGCGCCACAGGCACAGACGAGGATGTCAAAGCCAGGATTGGAAAAGCAAGACAGGCATTCACTAACCTGAAACCAATGTGGAGATCTTCTGCACTCACTATAAAGCGTGAACAGCATCCGGATTTTCAACACCAACGTCAAGTCAGTGCTTCTGTATGGTTCAGGGACTTGGCGCGTTACGAAAGGCATTTCCAACAAACGACAGACATTCATCAACAACTGCCTACCCTGGCTCGCTACTGAAGACCAGATGGCCAGAAAGAATAAGCAACAAGGAACTCTGGCTGACAACGAACGAACCAGGAACCTATCGCCCAACAAATATGCAGAAGGAGGTGGAGATGGATCGGGCATGCCCTGAGAAGACCATTCGGGGACATCACGCGATAGCCAGGCCCTCAAGTGGAATCCAAATGGGAAACGACGAGTTGGACGTCCGAGGGTGACATGGAGGATATCGTATGAGGAAGAAATGAGAGCTTCTGGGCTGTCATGCAGCCAGGTTCAAAAGATTGCGGAGAACAGAGTGCACTGGAGACGTGCTACTGAAGCCCTATGTTTCACTAGGAACCCAAGGGACAAATAATAATAATAATAATAATAATAATAATAATAATAATAATAATAATAATAATCAAAATCTCAAAACTTAGTTTTTTACATCACTCACGTTCCATTCTAGACTTTACTGAACCAACAGAAGATGAAGGCTACGTAAAAGCTGGTGGCACTGTTTCTAGTGGTGCTCCATCAACCAACCGATAGCTCTTACCTCGACGTGGTGGGTGGGGTTTTATATCAGAATGATCCAGCAAGCTAAGCTTGCTGAAGGATTAATCCCCGGCGTTCGATCGTCCCACAAAGGGCCGGTGGATAATGGCAAGACAAAAAGTAGTTACTGTTACAGTCAAGATAGTTATGCTGTGGTGGGGGATCTGATGGCACAGACATACTGCTGACTGTATGGAATGTAGTGGGAGTGAGGTTTTCACATGGATAACCTGCATTCCATCCTGATGCTACCTTCTCTTATCGGTAGGAAGGGTAAGAAAGGTAGACGGCGGTTTTTCGATGCCAGGGTTATGGGTGCTTTCTTGATAATAGACTTAACATACTCGGATCCAATCCCCTAAAAAGCCAGGTTAACCGACCTCATTCAGATGTCCATCGGGATCTGCGCAAACACAAAATAATTCACTTTCTACTCCAAGGATTGAGGTGACTTGGACATGTGTTTTACACACCGGGTCATTGTCTACCTCGATATACCATGGTAGCTGAAGTAGAACTGGATTGGAAGACCAATCAACACAATCTCTGACTTTAGGCGTCAGCCATGTAGGGCAACGTAAGTGTAGGCTGCCTGGCTGAGGTTCTCGAGAAAAGCATTAATGGTTGGAGATCCTTAATGATAGAGTTTAAAATAGACCACAATAGCGCAGATGTATTATCCTGAAAGTTATTGATATTTATCTGTTAGCTCACGTCTTAGACATTTTGGCCTGCTTTAAAGTCACACTTTTTTCGCCAATTGTTCTTTGAATGGTGCTGTGAACTGCAACATCTGAGCTGATCCACTTTTCTTTTTGAAGAAGACATTTGTAGCCGAATATGGAAAGAACTTTCAGCTATATAGCCATGGTAATCATTTAAATCCAGATGCATATATTCTTAAAACAATCCATGAACAGAAATATGCGAATTCCTACAGAAAAACTTACAGCCTTGCACCGATGACCTCAAATGGTGCTTGATGTGTCTGCCTTCAGTCAAATGTCAGTAACCAGAGGGTCGTAAGAAAATGAATAAGTTAGAACTAGTACTGCCTGCTAGTAGCCGCAATAAAAAATATATGATACGAAGAAATCAGGTCGCAAAAAACACTTAAAAAAGCTTACTTCTTTTGATTCCGCTATTAATCTTCCGATTCCCCAGCGCAGACGGATATCTTGTTCCGAATTACGTTCATTTGGTTGAATAATTCTACCCTTAGACATAGTTACAACAATGTTTTACTTCAAAATATGATATCGACACTTCATAATAAGTTGACAAAATAACTGCGAAAGAATTTGTCATCTTTACCAATAGCTTTATCTATTCCAGAAACATAGTTAATGACCCTGTAGTAATTATATTTCCTAGGACTTAGAATAAGTCAAACAATCATCCAAAGAAGTGAAGTAAAAGAAAGTCTACTAGCTGATAGTGTAAGAAACGACAAAACTGAGACTCAGGAAGGAATGCTTATTATTGACATCTTGAACAGTAGTCATCAAATATTGTACACTTTTCACTAAGTCATTTGTACAATGTGCTTTATTTTCTCTTCTGTTTCTATCTTGATTTCTTCTTAATACGCCCAAATTGTCTCTTGCGTTTCTCTTGGCAGAATCTTTCCCCATTGCTGGTAATTCCCTATGGTTTCTGCCACCCTCTCAATATATACTGCTTATCTGCATTCTGATCAGCAGCGCCCACGACAATAGCACTTTAAATTAGTGCTAAAGATTCAAAGATTTTGGCTTCAACCAAGATCCTGGTGAAGCTCAATATCACAACCATTTAGCTTAACTGTTTATACTAAGGTTTATATTTAAATATTTCAGCACCCTATCCTGAAAACAGCTTGAAATTCATTCCTTTTCGTTAAAACATTGTTCAACTTGGGCACTACGATGATACAACAGTAGGACAGCATAAAATGAAAGTTTAAAAGACATGCAGTTTGAAATAGGATAGAAGAAACAGTACTGTAAGGTATTTTGTGAGACTATTCATGATGACGAAACAAGTACACTACAAAATGATCAGTTGTATGTCTTGAAAAAAGACGATCTTATAAATTATGACCAGGTAGTAGTGATACGTAATCACAAGCTAACTCAACATAAAGACTTCTTACTCAACCATTTTCTTTCAGCTTCGAATAATTTCTAACGTCAAGATCATAGGAATGACTTACGTAAAACAGGCTCATACTAACGAATATGTCCTATGACATACTTTATCAAATAAATTATCTTTATTACCTGACTGCTCACAGAAAGACTGCATCGTTTTGTACATTTTCACAGAACGGAAGCAATGCTGTCAAGCGCATGGTGATTCAACAAAGAAACACTTTCAATATCCTCGATTGGAAAACTGTAAAACTAAAAGCGAAAGGTGTTAATGCCTGCGACTGCTAAACTAACTTAGGCAAGTCAGAAATTTTGAATGGACATGAGTTTCTACATGGTCGCAGGTATACTCTACTAGCTGCTTCAGGCGAATTTCTTTAGGCACACAACACTCAGTGACGCATAGGAAAGAGAGCAGTTTCTAAATGAAGCAAGTGTAACTGACTACAATCAGTCAGGATATATGTATAGTAACCAATCTTTTTTATAAAGTTGAACAACTAATTAAAAGACGCATATTATCTGAAAAATGTGGTGTGTATTTGCACCATACAGTTCGAATGGTTTAATCACACATTTACTTATCAAAGCATTTTATGTAAAAACTGGAAATGGACGAAGGAGAAATCTCACATAAAAGAATTTATTAGTAGAAAAGTAATGAAGGGAGAATTCGCTTGGTTGTGGCTAGCAGAGGAATTCAGGATTCTCGTTTGAAACGAAGGAAGAATGATATGATTTGAAGACAACCTTTGTAGTGTGATAAGATAAGCATTTTAGAGTGGATTCAGTGTAAGGAAAAACTGTTTTTGAACACACAACGAAGACTTAAATTTGTGTAGGGGAACATGATCCAAAAAGGCAACAAAAGCAGCTAGATTCACAAACATCGATGACCGCAGGTGGCAGATAAAACACACTGTTGATGGAGGTCACAGGACTGATGTTGAAATAGCTTTTACAATTTTGTATAGAAACTGTTAAGGGGGTATGGTTAGGTTTGTTGAGGCCCTAGGCATACACAAATTTAAACCTCCGTTGTGTGCTGAAAAAAATTTTTCCTTATGCTAGACCTACCCTGGCGATACTTATCGTATTACCAAGGTTGTCTTCAAATCATATCGTCTTTCCTTCATTACACTTTTATTAGTAAAATTTTTATGTAACATTTCTCCTTCCCCCATTTCCAGTTTTCATACAAAACGCTTTGATAAGTAAATGTATGATCAAACTGTTCGAACTGTATGATGCAAATACATCACATTTTCCAGATAACCTACGTTTTCTAATCATGTTACTGAAGTAGAATGAATACAATGAATAAAAAGCAGCAGCAGCAGTATGACACTTAAAATGTTACATTTGAGGGACAGTTGTACGAACCTGAGGAAATACATGGATCCACTGGCCGGAATTTAATAAATCGATACAGAAATCCATACTAGGCTGATATACTCCTCCACCGAAATGTGTTATCTTACCGGATAACGGATCACGAACTTTTCGCCACACAGGGATTCCTCTGAACCAGAAGCAAAATTGAGAATAAAACCATGTTGTGTAGCAAATGTCTACAGCCGTCAGACACCAACGGCACATTGTCACTAAATTTTTCTATAATATTTGAATGTTCGTACTACATACCATTAGCAATGTGCCTTAATGTAAGCAATGAACCATTTAAGAAGAAGTCATCCAAACATGAATGGTGATTGCTGACAGTAATTAAGGGCTGATTACTCGGTCTGCTGTCGATTGCTAAGAGCAAGCGTTCTGAACCAATGATGTTTAACTGGTGACGTGACAACAATATTTTTGAAAATGCTCCCATAAAACAGTAGGTCAATGGTTGGAAAATTCTTCGTGGAAGGGAGGATACTTTACGGTTTTTGTGCAGTTTGTACACAAGATCCATTTCATAAAAAAAGATTAGGTTGTCCACAACTTTCGAACTTAAAATATATTTTGAAATAAGAATCATTTTCATTTGAATCAACAAACGCAGATATCGGTTACGAGTGCCTAAAACAATGACCAAAAAATTAAATATAAAATTAGTGCATGGAATGTTATCAGTCGTGGGAATAACTTTTTAATTTCAAGGATGAGTAACTGGCAGTATATATTTGACCGATTGATAATTCATTCAGCTACATGGTGGACTCAGAAAGTGAAGAAAATTATTCAAAGGCAAAAAGTGAGAAATCAGTATCGATCTTTACATCCATAAGGAGCTCAACATAACACCTAAATTGTAGGTTCAACACGATTGCCTGGCGCGTACTACTTAGTAGCCCAAAACCAAAAAAACAATAGTAAAATGTTTCGCTTCAGAGATCCTTTTAGCGAATTTAATCTACGATAAAACCTACGCCTGAATCAACGGGGTTTGTACAAATAGCAATTTAAATAGCATCTAGGAAAATTAGAAAGTCAAAGGCAGAAACAACACTATAGAGTGGATGCGATAAATTTGAGTGGCTTAACAAATAAAGGAGAGAGGTGTGAATGGATCATAGTATACGAAATCTCTAGTGCTTTCTAAACTAGTCAAGTGACTTTTTGTACAGTGGAAAACTGAGAGCGATTCAGAATAATCACATGCTAAGCGGGAATACTAATACCAGTTCAGACGACTAGCCCACCACGAAATAAACTTTGATGAATGTTTTCTTATTTTAAGACGGCGTCATTTCTTCATATCACAATGATTAGTAAGACAGAACTGTTGTCACATGAGACAGGTGTGGTATTAAGATTTCAATGGAGATAAAACGCATATACACCTGTACCACTGCGATATATTTTTAACCACGTAACGTAGTCCCAAACCACTGACTTCAGGTGTCTCACAGACCTCAAACAAAAAGTTAATATTTTTCCGCACCTTTCACGGGTTGACACCACCATTTGATGTGAAAATCTTCAAGTGCTTTCCATCCTAATTTCAATCCACCTAACAGTACCCGACAGGATAAACAGCTTGGTACGTTTAACACATACCTAACTATCTTAGTTAATATAAGTCAACAACCTCATCAACTGATTGACTTATTTTACTCAATACCCTGAGCCTAACCTATACACTACTAACTAATATAGTCATTTTCGGTGTTGACAAGTTGAAGTCTTTTGGATACCTTGAGCAGCTATTCGAGAATATCTGGGATGTGTGTTTCATCGCGATAGTATAGTTTTTGTTTTAGGACTGATACGCCTTAGCATAATTTATGGTGGCTCCATGATATTTAATTTTCTATTTAGAGCCCAGTGTGCTGCTATGCGGTTCGCTCTTTTCTACTAAATGACTGTGAAACAGCCATTAAAGATAGAAGTGCGAGGGTTTCGGGTGTTCAACTACCGTTGCCTTCGTAACATAGGTCGTATGTCGTGTTGCCACTACATAACACAGAAATAAGGCGTACATGTGTTACACAAGTCTAATCATTGCCTGTCTCATCCCCAGTAGACAACGAACTAGATCTATTGTGCTGGGGTTATTGATAATACCTGATTGCACAAACCTCAGTAAGTGGAGCTTAATTCGAACCAATGACCTGTCATGTGGATATCAACGGCCTAGGGCAATGGACCACAACCCCGCTAGGCGAAGCACAATGTTTTTAACAGAGTGATGTACTTACTCTGTATCCCTTTCAGTGAGAGAGACTACCATAAGACCTTTCGATTGACAGAGATGAATACCACCTTCAGATCAAGAAATATAGGCAGTGTCAGTGATCCAGAACCTAGAGGAGAGTGAATATTTGATCGGTACACAGCCAAGGCTGAAGCTTGGATCATTTCCTCCGGTTTGCTGTTCCCGAGCTTCACTTAGGCGCTTAATGATTATAGAACCTATGACCTTAGACATTATATTTATCAGACTGATTGCACTGTGGATACCAAAAGAATTTTTTCTCTTCCTTGAAGACTGGGAAAATCAGTGGTTGAGATATGACAGACAGGACTATGTTTGATTCCCGTATGCAACCTAACACTCCAGTTAAACCAACCAAAATTCCTCAACCCCGATCCTTAAATGCCTTTGTCTGACCTTGCTGCCCTTCCTCGTTTCACGTTAATTACAATTTTTTCGACTTCCGCAAATGATGGAGCCCTTATCTCAATGTTCCACTCAGTATGACTAGATAGCGGGCAACAGAATAGTAGCTGGAGGCCAGTTGAACCTTTTTTGACGTGTTCCATCCATTTTTGTAATCGTTTTCCTAGCAAGTTAATCCCAGACCCATCCTTCTCCGCTATCGTATCACTTAACCACTGACCTATTTTGCACCAGTTTCTTTGATGTCTAAATAGCTCTCTACTGTAACGCACTACCGTTGCTCTTCCGATCTCTTTAGTATCCCTTACCTATAGCGTAGACTTCTCGCCAGTTTACATTTGAGTTGCTTTCACTCTTTGTTGTGTTCGAGGCCTGCAGGGATGCGTTCACGCGCGTCCATTAATTCAGAAGCTTCTGAGAGCTCCTGGCCCTTTTTACTGCTCTGAAAGTTAGCTACATGTTTTAACACTGTTTTTACAGCAAAGTGGAGGTAGCACCAGGGTTCTACTGGATGAGTGTTGTTGTGCTTCGATAACTGCCTAGCCAGTTCTTCACTGGAAGCAATCTTGGTATTCCTATTCTTGTGCTGCGCTTACAGTGGTCATGTGGCTATGGATTTTATACGTCTATTTAGGCGCAGAAATGCGCCTACTTTAACGTGCAATCACTTCCCAAGCAGTGTTTCAGGAGGGCCAGCAATTTCCCGCTGACTTTCTCCAGTGACAACCGACAGCAACATGATCTCTATGTGTCCACTGTTGAGTTCGGTGGACATCATGTCAGTGTCTCTAGGTCTAACGTTCGTACTGACCAGTAGTTGGTTGTTCGAGCACAGTTTCCGCAGGCGGTTGCCGTTATCGGTTCGTTCGACTGGGATTCCGAAAGTGCCACCTAGGAGGCTTTGTTAAAACTGGCCTGCTGACTTGTGCATTGAAATCACCTGCTAAGAAAAACCCATCACAACGTTTGGCTTTCAGTAAAAGGCTAGAGATCTACTGCACTCAGCATGTGAAACAAGATCCGAATTTTCAACACCAACGTCAGGTCACTGCTGCTACATGGTTCAGAGACTCGGCGCATCACGAAGGGCATTTTCAACAAACTACAGACATTCATCAACAGCTGCCTACCCTGGCCCGCTACTGAAGATCAGATGGCCAGAAAGAATAAGCAACAAGGAACTCTGGGAACGAACCAACCAAGAAGCTATCACCCAACAAATATGTAGAACAAAATGGAGATGGATTGGGCATACACTGAGAAGGCAGACTGTGGACATCACGCGCCAAGCCCTCGAGTGGAATCCAAGTGGGAAACGAGTTGGACGTCCGAGGGTGACATGCAGGAGGAAATGAAAGCTTGTGGGCAGTCGTAGCGTCAGGTTTAAAAGATTGCAGAGTGGAGGCGTGCTACTGAAGCCCTATGTTCCACTGGGAACCCAAGTGAATAATAATAATAATAGGCTAGAGTTTTCTGTAGAGCTCATTATTATCATTTGATCTTCAGTCAGTAAGTGCGTACACACAGACTACAAAAAGACAATAGTGAGTTTCCCTCCTCTTTTTATTCCGCACTGTACCATCCGGTAGAATAGTGGGCAGGCTACTGTCACGGACCAAGTAAAGTAGTGCATTTCCTGCCTTTAGACCTAGTGCCATGCCTACACCTGCAACACCAGAGGAACTAGTCATCGAGTCGCCAAAAGTTCAACGAGTGAATTTCGCAGTTTCAGCACTGACATGCTACAGATAGCTCTATTTCCCGAGTAGATGAAGCGGTCAGTGTACCTAAGCACTTCACCATATATCAGAAGAAAGTGACAAAGAAGACCAGTCCTAAAGCAGTAATTCAACCTTTATAGTTGATAAACACATGTCAAACTATTGCCACTTATGAAAAACAGTATGTTCTCAGAGTCCTACCACGTATGACGTCTGCGGACTAAAGAATGCCTTAAACGATCAGACTTCTACTGATATGCACCCCAACTGACATACCTTCTACTCTTTCAAAGAGATCGGAAGTTGGTGGAGGCCATTTGCAATTTGATTTCAGAAATTTGAAAAACTGGGTCCTATTAGCCTTCCTATTCGTATTACAAACAAATTGTCAGACGTCCTTTGTGTGCATTACCCAATAACAATAACCTAATAGTCATTTATACGAAGAATCCATATGCTTGCAGTCACAAAAAGTTGCACAAAAATGCCAGTCACAAGCAAGATAGTTTTTTTAATAAGATTTCCAGTTGCGACTATTCTGAGCTCTTGGAAGTTCCTGAAATAAAAACTGGGGTTGATACAAAGATGTGCAACATACAGTATCTAATGTTTACTTTAAAGTTATTAAAGCATTAACCATACATAGGCGGACGGCAATGACCTACAGAGGACAACTTATTAAACAACCTAAAATAAACTACACAGAATCAGTGAACACAAGCGGTAATGAAAGATACACTTAAACGCAAACTTTCTTCCCTATAGGGTCAACATAGGTTTTACGCACTTGAATACTGACTCTAAAGACATTTTAGGATATGCATACGTGATGTACGTAGTCTATGGGGAATATTGGAACGAATGATAAGTGCTTACCACATATGGGTTTTATTCCTCCAGGTGCAATAACAAATCGAAAAAGTGGATATGCAAAGCAAATAGACATCCCAGGCACTTTCACCGAACCCCGGGTAGTTCCCGATGATGTTTATCAACTATGCATGAAGCTCAGTACTAGGAAATACTGCCGAAACCAATATGCTAAACCACGGTTACTCTAATGTCCATAAACCTCTCCTCGAAAACTTGCATCCAATCGTCCTAGTTTCTACCACATTACGTCCATCATTCAATATTTTTTACGAGCTTGCGTTAATCAGTTGGTTGCTTTGTGCTCACTTCTAAGTCTTGCGTAACGGTTTTAGGTCCTTGGTGGATTCCGATGCAGGAGGTCTATTCACTCGCCTCCTGTAGATCTGGTATACCCGACGGGTGGTTAGGTGTTGATTACATTTTCAGAGTTTATGTGACTTGTCCTAGGAATTTGATCCACGTAGGTTCCTTAAATGTGGTGTCACCAGACAGTTGTTTGGAGTGGTTTTGAAAAGATAGAAAGGATGAAAAGATGTCCAGCAACGAGATATAAGAAGTGAGAAAGAACAGGTTGGAAAGAAGCTGAACGAAAGGAAACGAAAAACCTAGGTAGATTTACGGAAGGGGGGAGAAAGAGGACAGTGATGAGGAGAACTTTATTAGAATCAGAAGGAAGAGGAGCAGGCGAAATTATAGCAGGGAAAATCGGAACAGAGATAGTAATGTTATTATTGGGGATATGATAACTGGAAGTGAGAAGTTTAGCAGGGAAGCAAAACGTTTAGTTCAGTTTGCGAAAGTAGTGGTAGTACAAAAGATTTGGCGTAGAGATGACTGCGCTAAAATGATGAGGAATTAGTTGGTTGTATTAACCTAGTCTGTAACCAAACTGGATGGGCGTAAGTCGTGTGTCACTGTCCAACCTCTTCTGTAAGGTGTCAAACCATAGAGAGAAAAAGTGTAAACTAACACGGGTTTCATGTAATGTGACTCGGCAGTTTAAGGCTATCAATCATTGGATCTCGCGTTCGAGTCCCACCTCACCTACCGAGGTTTAGGCAGCCAAGTAGTGCCACTAGCACTCAAACAATAGGTGGCTCATTGCCTACCACACGGATGTGCACAAGGTGGCTGAGTTGCGTACATTATACATACGTACACGTCGGTTTACGTCCTTTGGTAGGCGATCCTCCGTGGTTTACCACAAGGATTGGCACACTGTTCATTCGGCAGGATTTAACTTTTAGATAACTTGGATTACCTAGTATTTTGTAAGGCGTTATTAAATCCCCACGAAAGCTAGGGTAACTAGGAGAGGGTAAAGCTCTAGGTCTTCCAGCCTATCATCATAAGTTTTGCTGCATTCCTACAACACCCTTCGTCATTCATCTGTGAACTTCCTAAAGGAGGTTCACATTATTTTTTGGGTATGTTAGTGCAACAGAGTTGTGAACCTCTGAGTGAGGTCGTATATGGGTCTTGTACAGCTTCAGAAAGCTTCATGAACTCTCAGTCTTCAGGACTATGATTACTAATATAACTTGCTCGCTTTTGTTTCAAAGAAATAAGATTTCCCTTTACAGTAACTATCCTCTAAATTTGTATTATTTACCTAAAACCTACTTTCGATCGAGTCTAGCGATGTGTGTACTTTATGCATACTCATTCAGGAAATTCAAAACATTTTAATGTGAGAAAAATCTTCAGCCTCAAAAATGGTTTAAAAATCCATATAAAAAGAGACACGTAAAACAGGTCTAACGTACATGGCGCATTGTACCGTTTTCCAATATCCAATATTGATAGTGCGAGCGTAGAAAACTAGTAGTTTTTGATCTCTCGCGTCTAGTTCTTAGGGCTTGGTTCCAGTTGTTCGGTTCACTCCTGCAGTGGACGAGGAAATCCCCTCTGCTTTCTTGCTTTTAGCTTCGGTGAGGTGGATGTTTTGTGGGTTAGTAGGTTGTAATTTGTAGAGTGATTAGGGAGCTACGGGCTGCTGGGAAGTTTAGAGAACAACCGTGACTCCTGTCTGTGTAGGTACCTGAAAGAGAATATTAAGGTAGTGGTAAAGGAATGAAGAGAGAAGAAAGGAAGAGTTAAAAAAAAATAAATAAATAAATAAATAAAATAAAATAATAAAAAATAAAATAAAATAAAATAAAAAATAAAAAATAAATAAATAAATAAAAAAAATTAAAAATAAAAATAATAGTAATAATAATGTAGGGAAGAGGAAAGGGAAGGAGAATAAAAGAAGGGGTGAAGAGAGAAATGAGAACGAAAGAAAAGTATTTGGGAATTGCCCGAATGGTCGCGTGGGTTTGGTTCCTACAGAAGAATTAGTAGGTAATGTGGGTGTATTAAGGAGAGAGATAGTGAGTGGTAGTTAGGAGGGAGTTGAGGGGTACTGAGGTTGGTGACTACCTGAGTACGTCCGTGGTAGTCCATGCGAGGTGACATAACTGTCTAATCGCCTCTTGAAAGAGTCGATTGAAGGAGCTATAACGATGTGTCGCGGTAAGGCATTCCATAAAGCACATACTCTTAGGGAGAAAAATTTGGACCTGAGTGTGGTGTTGGCTCTCTGGTGTGCTATCTTAAAGGGGTTTCCTCGTGAAGATCGTTCAGTTGCAGGCAAAATTGATTTGTTTGCATGGTCTGCCTGATGGGCGATCTTGTATGCCATAATGAGGTCACCCCTTTTCCTGCGATAACCCAAGGTAAATAGGTTGAGGTGTTTAAGTCTTTCAATACGTCTTTCCCCTTAGCCCCACAACTGATTTTGTTGCAGTTCTTTGTATTCTTTCAAGGAGATTAGAGTCTCTCTTGAGTGTTGGAGGAGCCACCGTATTGAAGACCTCTAGGTGCGGCCGCACGTAGGATTTGAAAATGGTAAGGAAGAGTTCGGGAGTGAGGGCGCCAAGCTGTCTACGCAGAAAGTGTAGAATGGCGTTCGCTCTGGTTGTCATACCTTTGTAGTTGGAGCTGGTGTCCAAGGTGTCGGAGAAGTTGAGCCCCAAATCTTTCTCCATGGACACTCTGGTGATAGCACGGTTGCTCAACATGTACTGGAAGTCGGTCGTACTTGCCTCATTTTTACTGATGTGCATTACTTTGCACTTTTCCAAGTTGAAGCTCAGACCATTTTCCGACGACCAGAGCTCGAGTTGCTGCAAGTCCTTTTGTAGTGCTGCACAGTCGGCTTCTTCGTTTACCACCCTCCAAATTTTTATGTCGTCAGCGAAGAGGAGGATGGGTGAGGATATTTTGTCTGGCAGATCGTTGACAAAGAGGAGGAACAGAAGCGGTCCTAGGATTGCTCCTTGGGATACTCCTGACGTCGACGGTCTCCACTCCGACCTTATTCTGTTCACTTTAGTGCAGAACTGCCTCCCTTCCAGGTACTCCTTGAACCAAGAGAGTAGGGGTCCACTTATACCAGCTGACATGATCTTGTGAAGCAGTACTGTGGGTGGGACACTGTCAAATGCTTTGGCTAGGTCGAGAAATACAGCATGTACAGGTTTTCTATTATCCCAGCTTTGTGTCCAGTCGTCCCAGGCAGTTAGTAAGTTGGTGGCACATGAGCGACCACTACGAAAGCCGTGCTGAGCAGTGTGGACAGTGTTTTTTCTATTGAGGAATTCCCAGATGGTGTCAGCTACCAGGCTTTCCAACACTTTCGACACAATAGGGAGTAGGGCAATCGGCCTGTAGCTGCCAGGGTTTTTTCTGTCTCCTCCCTTGAAGATGGGTGACAAGATGGCACTCTTCCATTCTTTAGGGAGTTTGCACGAGTCTATTGAGTGCTCAAAGAGGTTGCGAAGTGGTTTGGTAAGCACCTCGGCGCAGTTTTTCAGAACCACTGGTTTCAGATTATCGCAGCCAGGGGACTTGCCCGGACGTAGCCTAGATAGCTTCTCGAACACCTTTTTCTCTGTAATAGAGACGTGACAGAGGTATTCGTTATTTGCGACCTGGTCGGTGTCGTGGCGAGTCGGTGTGGATCTTGTGTCAGTAAGATTTCCCTTTACAGTAACTATCCTCTAAATTTGTATTATTTACCTAAAACCTACTTTCGATCGAGTCTAGCGATGTGTGTACTTTATGCATACTCATTCAGGAAATTCAAAACATTTTAATGTGAGAAAAATCTTCAGCCTCAAAAATGGTTTAAAAATCCATATAAAAAGAGACACGTAAAACAGGTCTAACGTACATGGCGCATTGTACCGTTTTGTCATAAAACCAGCGGCATCGAACATCCAACATCAATTGTGCGAGTAGAGGAAACTTGTAGTTTTCCAGCTCTCGCTTCTAGGTCTTGATACTCGGTTCTTTCTGTTCGGTTTTACCCCTTCAATGGTCTCAGAAGTCTTTCCTTTTCCAGTTTCAAACTTCAGATGGTTTAAATAGTTTTTGACATAGTGAGAGAAACTTTCGCTTAACTGACATCCACGTCTAGAAGCAATGAATCATCAACTCGTATAGTTCGTAAACAATTATTAATCAAAGAGAGAGTGAAATGTGGCAAACTTGTTACCTCAGACACTTCTTTCTTCCGAGATCAGCGGTGTAACGTCACATACTTGTAGCGTCACACACTTCCCCAAAATCAGTAGCCTAGGGTTCGAAGACATTCAACATTGATGCCGACCTTCGTGGCTTAACTGGACTCGCTAAGCTGAAGGCACCCAGTCAAACATCCTCGCCATTTGGCACGCTGTCGTGTTACGTTGCACTGCTCGTATTCGACTCTCTAACCAGTTAGTTGGAACGCACCAGTATCTTGGTAGAACCATCCAAATATACTATTCCATCCGACTACGCTATCGTGTTCTTTCTTGTTCTCGTATTCGTGGGTATGTAACAAGTCCGAATAATTAGTGATTGGTTTTTTCGTCTGTCAAGTTCTCACCAGGACAAATTCTAAAGCGGCAGTAAAACACATATACGAGGATTCGTTTCTTTTAGAAGTGATATGTTAGCATGCACAGGTGTTGGTGTCATCTTTCACCTTACTTGTAAGGGCAACAGAATTGGTTGCAAATGAAAGCAGGACATGTGATATGTCGCGTTGTCCGGTGAACTGCAAGGGCAAGAGGTGTGCTTAGTCATAGTATGTCGAAGCCCTGAATGTGGAGCTGAGGACTTCCTCTTAAATAAGCAGACCCTCTGTACATATAAACGCCAAGGCCTAGTTATGCAGGACTTAATTTCAACATCAGTTGGTGAGGACAGACTAACAAAGGAAGCGTCACGTAGGTCGTCTGATCACAGGCCAGTTGGTCCATCAAATCCTGTAGCCCTAATGCAGAACATTAGAGCAGCAACCGGGTACGGTTGCAGCATGCTCAGCCAGTTCTAGACTTAGTATTCTCACACACAGATAATGCATACTTCACCGAGCACAGTGAACCATTCGGTATAGGTGAACATGCCGTGATCAGACTCAGGTTCACAGCAGCCGTCTTATACCAAGCCCGTGCCCCGATTAAGCCTAACCCATGGAAAGCGGATTAGGTGGCTGTTAACTGTGCAGTAGCCCCAGTTAAAGATTCGCGGTGCTCCTTCAGACAGTTACATGCACCGGAGACTCAGCCTTTCACTTCATGGTCTGTTTCAAAGGGACGGAGACATTGTCCCCTGTGGATACACCACGTAGTTTGAACCTTGCTATGACGCATGAAAGTGCTACAGCCGATTTGACACCAGGGCGTCAAATTTCCGGACACCGTCTCTTACTGTTTGAGAGTATCTGGCACTACTAATTCCTCCTACCCGGCTTTGAAATGTTCCAGGTCCCTCAATAAAAAATTTAAGACCTCTTGTCAGGGAATTCAACATGCCGACCAGGCTTTCATGCACGTCGGGCGGGTGGCTGGATAGAGAGGAGCTGAGGTTTTCCCCGCTGTCTCTCTCCGCCAATCATAGTGGGTTTTCCCGAGGATTCTTTCAGGTGCTTCCGCAACTACATGCGGTCACTGACAAGATTTCTTTATCAGGCACAAAATGTTGCGCACTTTACCCATATGGTTGGTAGTTCTCAGTAAGGTCATGGAGAGAGGATCTGTCTACAAGCAGCACACCACCTCAACATGAACAGCCCTCATTTTCAGGCGAGTCACCTAGCATTTAAAACTCCAACAAGTTCCTCTTCCTTTTACACCTGTTAAGAGTCCAAAGAAGTATATTCAACATGTTCAAAAAATTAGTCACCACAACTCATTTTCTGGTATGGCAGAGGCGTTATAATTTTTTCATCGAATCGACCGGTTCTCTACTTATACTAGAAACACTTCCGAAATGTCCTTGCAACAGTTACATTGCTGAACCCCGGGGACTGTAACCAATGCTTGGGACAATTTGCTTCAGACAAGAGCAACGCAGCAAGTAGGAGGGTAGTGAGGTGAGTACAGCGTGTTTATTCTAAAAACTTTGGTGGACGAGTCAGATAGACGAAATTTAACAAGTACGATAAAAGTTATTGATCATTCAGTAGCAGGTAGTAGTGAACACAAAGTTTACAACAGATAGAAATCACAACCCTGTTTACCGGGCACTGCAACATCCCCCTTAAAAATCCGATGTTTCCCTGGCATGTCTAACGGTACTTGTGACAAAATAGGTGATGCAGTGGTAAACTTGCTATGGAGTGAACATTTGGGAGTTTCGTGAAGAGGTCTCGTGTGAAGACTCGGACCGTCTAAACCGCCTTCCGACACCAAATATTCCACCTACCTCAATTAAACTGAGCTCCTCACCTCACTTTCTGAACGCTTAAGACTCTTGGCTTGTATATGTAAATACCTGCCCCCACACTTCGCAGTGGATGGCGTTAAGGACAACCTGCTTAAGACTGCATAGTTAGTTAACTTTTAGTAGCTCAAAATGCAGACTGTTATTTGCTGCTAGGCCATGCGCCACCTACAAATGTTCAGTAGACCAAATTCCCCAAGAATTTGCTTTCGGCGTTCTGTACCAAACGGAGTGGTATAAGAGCAAAACCTGCGCACTGTGGTCGATTGTAATTTAATTTTAGTATGTTTATTAGAAATATCACACAGGGAAACAGTATCATTTACCGGATAGCATTTTGGACACAATTAATTGTCCATATCCACACTATGCATACTCCCAGATTTTCTCCTCTTCCGCTCATCGTCACAGAGAAGGGGAGAAAATTAGGAATACATAAAGCGTCTCGAAGTTGTAGAGTTATCTGATACTTAAGGATTTGTCCTGGTGAGAACTTGACAGACGCAAAGACCAATCGCTAATTATTCGAACTTGTTATATACCCACGAATATGACAATAAGGAAGAACACGATAGCGTAGTCGGATGGAATAGTATATTTGGATGGTTCTACCAAAATACTGATGCGTTCCAACTAACTGGTTAGAGAGTCGGATACGAGCAATGCAACGTAACACGACAGCGTGCCATATGGCGAGGATGTTTGACCGGGTGCCTTCAGCTTAGCGAGTCCAGTTAAACTATCAAGGTCAGCATCAATGTCGAAAGTCGTCAAACCCTAGGCTATTGATTTTGGGGAAGTGTATGACGCTACAGATCACTCCCCCCCTATTGGGTTCGTGAGGACCCTAGGACGATACCAGCCGGAAGTAAAAACCCAGTGGTTGCTCCACTGGTAAAACTCTTCCGATGGGCTCACTGCGTGAGGTGGCCCCTGGTTGTCTGAACCTTATTCTAGGGTGTCGTGGCAATTAAATAAATAAAATACAATAAATGAAATTGTACGTCGGTCGCGGTCATCTGTTCCTTTCGACGTTCCGTCCAGTGCTCGTTGCACCTGGAATATAAATAAAAGTCTTTAATACCACGAAAACGTTGCGTAAAAGTGAGAATTATTTATATATGAACATATCGAAAAATAAAAATTTACGCTTACCTTCGCCGGCTTTTTTTTAAAGTTTTTATCACATGGTAATAAAAATCGATATAAAAAAAGGCAGAGTGTACGAGGGTTTGTATTGATGCATCGGGTAGCGGTCTGGGGTTGTTTTGGCGTTGAGCCTTCGGTAATCACCGGTTGGACGCCAGTCGTTGCTATCCTTTTTGGGCACCATGTGCAATGGCGATGCCCAAGGACTGTTCGACGGTCTGATAATGCCCAGTTCCAGCATATGGCTGAATTCATTTTTCGCCGTTTGCAGCTTATCGGGGGCTAAACGGCGAGCTTTGGATGCCACAGGTGGACCTGTGGTTGTGACGTGATGCATAACATTGCTGGTTATGCACGGAAGGGTATGTTTCGGTTGTTGTAACTCTGGATATTTCTCTAGAACTGCCTGGTAGGACGCGTCGCCTGATTGTTTAGTCCTAACGATGGCTAAACTCGGACCTACATAGGTGGTGCCACCAATAGATCACCTTGTGTTGTTATCTATCAGTCGACGACGGCGAGCATCTACGAGTAGATCGTAATGGTTTAGCAAATCTATGCCAATGATGGGCATAGAGACGTCTGCCAGGAGGAAAATCCAGTGGATAGGTTTGCGTAAACCTAAGTTGAGGTAGGCATACCGTCTCCCGAATGTCGCGATTGCCTTGCCGTAGGCTGCTTGAAAATTGAAGGATGGGTCAAGATGACGCTCCTTTGTCGTTGCTGGAAGAACGCTAACTTCTGCGCCGGTGTCGACGAGGTAGCGGACTTTCGTTTTAATATCCGTGACGTAGAGCAAACGGCTTTTTCCGCCGGCTACGGTTGCCGTGAGCACGTGCCGGCGTGACCGTTTCCCGAGTTTGGGTCCTTCTTAAAACGGCATGGTTTACGACATTTTCTGGCTTCATCCCCGTAAGTGTTATGAAACCAGCACCATTCAGGGTTTTCCACCCTGTTGGGTTTCGTTTTAGGGCTACCACGCGACTTGCTGCGATGCGCCAAGGTGCGTTTCTGTGAAGTGCTACGTGATCTAGGACTTCGAGATCGTAGCAACCGTCTCACAGAGTTGCACAACTTGGTCACCTCCGAATCCTGGCGCTCTGTTTTGTCACAGATAGAATATACGTTGGAGACGGGTCTGCTGGATATCTCCAGTATTTTATCTGCTGAGGCTGCCAGGTCGTCGAGTGGGACTGACTGGAGTGTCACCAACACGGTTTGCACCGGTTGTGGTAGTTTCGAGAGAAATAGTTCTCGGAAGAAACCATCGTCAAATGTTCGTGCACCGATTACTTCTCGCATGCGTGCGAGGACTTCAGTAGCTGAGTGGCTGCCTAGCTCGATGTTA